ACGGTTGAATTTTGGCAGCTTTGACTTCTGGACCTTGGTTTGATTTTTTTTCTGTATTTTTTATCAGTCATAAAAATCTGATTTAATGTCACTGCTGAGGCTACAGCTATGAATCCTTCACTGCAGCTATTTCTGCTGCAGTGGTTCATGGAACTGAGAGACTTAAATGTATTCTCGGTGGCTATGGGAAATCTTTGCTGCACAACTTGCCAAGGTGCCTACAAGGTGCTTATCACACGCTTAAGATCCTGGACGAACTTTACATTCATTCACTCATTACATTACAATCGTAACTGTTTTCATCGCTGTCAGATTCTGACAAGACCGAAACTGAATGTTTATGGCTTTCAATCAAAACAAGTTAAACATATAATTCTGACTTATCGAGTTACTCCCTTTCTTTCTGACCTAGAAACAATCAAAGTAGTTTATTTGTATTGTAGTGCTCATCCGTCCTCCATGTGAATAGGCAACTGCCTCTCCATACTAAACTATTCATAGAATCATAGAATCGTACAGCACAAAAAGAGGCCATTCGGCCCATCAAGTCTGTGCGGCTCTTTGAATAGAGCAATTAATGTCAGTCCCACTCCCGGCCCTTTCCCCATAACCTGCAAACCCGTCCTCCTCAAATACCCGTCCACCGCGTTTTTAAAAGTAGTTATCGAATCGGCCTCGACCGCCCTTTCAGGCACTGCATTCCAGATTCCAACAACTCGCTGTGTGAAAAATGTCTTCTCCCCTCCCCTCGGCTTCTTTTAGAGACTATTTTGAATCTGTGACCTCGAGTCACCGACACACCCACCAGTGGAAACAGTTTTTCCCTTTCTATAAACTATCAAATCCCCTCATCATTTTGAAGACCTCCATCAGGTCTCCTCGTAACCTTCTCTGCTCCAATGAGAATAATCTCGGCCTCTCTAACCTTCCCTCATCATCAAGGTCCCTCATTCCATCCTCGTAAATCTACTCTGCACCCTTTCCAATGCCTTAACATCCTTCCTATAGTGCGGTGCCCAGAACTGGGCGCAGTATTCTAACTGAAGCCTAACCAGTGTTTTATATCGGTTAATCATAACCTCCTGACTCTTGTACTCTATGCCCCTATTTATAAAGCCTAGAATCCCATTTGCCCTTTTTACAGCTGTATCTCCCTGTCCTGCCCTTCAAGGATTCATTTACCTGCCCCCCAGGTCCTTCTGTTCTTTCACCCCCTTTAAGATTGTATTACCGCCTATATTGCTCCCCTCATTCTTTCTGCCAAAATGCATTACATCACATTTCTCTACATTGAAACTCATCTGCCAAGTGTCGCCCATTTTACCATTCTGTCTATGTCTTCCTGCAGTCGGCTCCCATCCTTCTCACTGTTTACCGCCTCCCTAACTTTGTGTTGTCCGCAAACTTGGAAATGGTACTTGCTATACCCAAGTCCAGATCATTTATGTATAGTAAGAAGAGCAGTGGTCCTAATACCGATCCCTGGGGGACACCACTGTATACTTCATTCCAGTCAGAAAAGCAGCCGTTCAGCACAGCTCTCTGCTTTCTGTCTCCCAGCCCGTTCTGGGTCCGCTGCCACTGTCCCATTTATACCGTGGGCTTCTATCTTTCTTACAAGTCTTTCATGTGGCACTTTGTCAAATGCCCTTTGAAAGTCCATATAAACTACATCAACTGCACTGCCTTTATCCCCTCTCCGTTACCTCATCAAAAAATTCTATTAGATTTGTTAGACAAGATTTGCCTTTAACAAATCGGTGCTGTCTGTCCCTAATTAACCCATATTCTTCTAAGTGAAGATTTATTCTGTCCTGGATTATAGTCTCCAGGAGTTTCCCCACTGCTGATGTTAGCCTGTAGTTCCCAGGTTTGTCCTTCTGTCCCTTTTTGTACAGAGGAGTCACATTGGCCACTCTTCAGTCCTCTGGCACCACTCCTGTGTCATTTGCCCCAGCCCTGTTTAGGGTCAACCCATCCATATGATACAGGTCACACCTGCCCCAGAACTGGTCCCAATGATCCAGAAACCTGAAACTCTCTTTTCTCAACCATTTCTCCAGCCAAGCATTCATATGCTTGATCCTCCATTCTGGTACTTATTTGCCCGAGGCACAGGGAGCAATCCAGAGATCGCCACCTTGGATGTTCGATTCTTTAGTATGTTCCCCACATTTTGATATTGACCCTGTAGAGTCTCAGCCCTTTTTTTACCAATATCATGCATGCCCACTTGGATTACCACTTCTGGATGTTCACTTTCCCCTTGAAGAATTTTATCCTCCCTTTCTGCGATGTCCAAGACTGTTGCACCAGGGAGGCAACATGCCACCTTGACTCCCATCTTCTGTTACAGAAACGTCGGTCCTATACCTCTCATTGCTGTATCCCCTGGAAGAAAATGCAAATTTAACAGAATTTTCACTGTCATGTTCATGGGCTCAAAGGGACTTTTCATTTACTCTGAAAGTGCTTCAGCAGCAATGAAGGACAATAGGAAATGATCCTTGAGTGTTTAACATTGATCAGTTAGAGAAGTCTTTCACTAAATATTTAGTCATAGCCTGAAATCATAAACCGGTAAATGCTTTCTTGAAACAAAAGTATTTTCTTTGAGACCTCAGTGAATGATTTATGCACTCTATCATATTTTTCAAACACTTTTCTGACCTTCCAAGACTCATGGTTGCATGAATTTTCAGCAAAGCCCTTGGTATCTGGAAAGTCCATTAATGTCGCTTAAAAACTGGAGCAGAAGTTTTGAGACAATTCACTGGTGTATTTTGATCTGGTTTTAATGAAGCACATTCATGAAAGAAAATCAGAAATAGACACAAAACCAACTTTAATTTTCTCAAACAATTAAAGAGAAAATTGATTCTTTCATTTGTGTGGAGAGACTTTGAAATCTGATAAAATTACACAAGACAACTTAATACATCGAGTCCTTCATCAGAACTGACTTCTCTCTTTTTCTTCAGGATAACATTTTCTGAGTTTATTATTAGATTTTCAGCATCTGCATTTTTATCTTACTTCGAACTGTACCAAATGTCAGTTGAATTGAATTATGTCTGATAGAGTTTAATGCAGTAATATCAATATTGACCTGACTGTGTGTGAAATTGAGGACCGTTGGCAGCAAGCTACATAATGTAAAACCTTCATTAAAGTCTTGCTTTAAGTGCCCTTAACATTCTAAGGGTCCTTAGGTTGCTCTTAAAAGAAGCACAAACCAGGTTATTTATAGGACAACTCTTTAAAACTAAAAGTTTCAATCTCCTGGGAATGCAGTAACGGATCCAAGATCTTATTGAAAACGACAGTTTCCTACGTTTGTAAGTGGATAAAAGAATACAATGCACAACATGTAAGGAATCCTGGCACCTTCCCTCCAAGTAATGAAGAGCGAGTGAATAGACTGAATAAAGAGTTGCCTTGCGATTGACTTACTGTGACGAGAGACATTCTGGCTGGCACTTCTCCACAGTGACTCCGTAGGATTGAGATGTGTGTAGAGAATCTCAGGTGCCAGTTAGCATTACACCCCTACACTGTACAGCCTTCAATTTCCTGCTTTATTTAACCCGGTTGTTAGTCGATTGGCAGATCGCTTTCCGGGGGTAATAATCCCTCCAAAATAAAATAATAATTTGAAACGCATTTATATTTGGCCACTCAATCCACGACTGTTTGTGGGACTCCGCTGTGTGCAATTGGCTGCCGTGTTTCGCCCAGAAAATACACAGTCACTGCACTTTACAGTATTTTCTGTGAAGGCTTTGAGACGTCTTGAAGACGTGTTAAGGTGTTTGTAACAAGTGCAAGGATTATTATTATTTATAATCACGGTAACGTTTTCCTGCTTTACTTGAATAGAACTGTCAGACATAAGAAATTTGCCCACATTTTGGTCTCGGCACATTTCCAACTCAGGCCCCATTTTCCCATCTCAAGGAGTATTTATCCCATTCTCCCTGTGCAATTTGGGGAAAAAAAAGGTTGAGTGAGAAGTTTATGGGTCTTTTAATTTTAAAGCGCTCAGGGACCCTACCCCGTGTCAGGGCATTATATAAAGGCAAGTTATTGTGTGTGTGTCTGTGTGCATGTGGATGGGTGTTGGTGGGGAGGGGGGGGTTAAGAATGCAATCAATACAGCTTCTCAAAAACACCTGAGTAAATAGCTTGACTGTGTTGCCCAGCGTGTGAAAGAGGTGAGATGTGACGGATCGTCTAATTAGCATCAATGATCACGTCTCGTCGTGAAACCATTTCAGCGCTACTTATAGTGCGAGGGGCCACGCCTCGGCTCGGCACGGCTGTTCAGCAGAGGTGTTATCTGTTTATAAGTGTGAAATGACACATCCTCACCCATTGATGGAGAAAAAGCCGTGTGCGCATTATGAACATTCCATTGCCAGGTTTAAGGTAAAGGGCATTTTGCTTCCGAACCAACTCCCATTCATTAAAAAAAAATCCCACCTTTCAACCGGAAAGCGTACAATTGTCAGTGAGGTCAATTTGTCAGCGTTTCGCCCACAAAATACGCAGTCAATTCACTTTACAGTATATCCTGTGAAGCGCTTTGAGACGTCGCGAAGACGTGATCGGGCGCTGTGACAAATCCCAGGATTGTTATTATTTATTATAGTATTTATTGTTATTTGTTATTATTATTGGTTGTTTGGGTATATGAACTGAATGCCAAGTCCCCTTTTTGCTGCGCACATTATCCTCTGCAATTAATGAATGACTCGATGGCTTTACAGGAGGAGCACCTGAAGTGGGGGAAGGAATGAGGAAGAGGAGGAGGAGGTGAGTTGGGGAGAGACACAGAGAGAGAGAGGGAGAGAGGGCTGAGCCGAGGAGCCACCGCCCGCCCGCAAGTGGCTGATTAACCGCAGCGGAGCCGCAGTCTGTGCGGGAGAGGGAGAGGGAGACACAGACAGACAGACAGACCGGGGGAGGGGGTGAGGGGGGGAGGGGGGGAGGGTGATGGGGGGGGAGGGGGGGAGGGGGGGGACGGGCACAGCTACAGCGCTCTGTCCCTGAAAAAGCGCAGGAAACGCCCGGACAGACGGTGGAGGGTGAGGCTGGTGATGCTGCAGTGCTGTAAGTCTTTTCTCTGCGGACAAATATAATATAATATAATATAATATGATATGAGATGAGATGATATGGTATAATATATAATTTTGCTGTAGGGCCCCGTAACCCGCCCTGTGGGGTATTATTAACCCTCCGCTGGACGCAGTTTGTCTGCATCTTCATTTCAACCACAAACACAGGAGGGAGTGTAACAAATACAACACACGTCCCCCATCCCCGGACCCCCCCTGTACCCCATCCCCGGACCCCTGGACCCCCCCTGTACCCCATCCCCGGACCCCTGGACCCCCCCTGTACCCCATCCCTGGACCCCTGGACCCCATCCCTGGACCCCTGGACCCCATCCCTGGACCCCTCCTGTACCCCATCCCTGGACCCCTGGACCCCCCCTGTACCCCATCCCTGGACCCCTGGACCCCATCCCTGGACCCCCCTGGACCCCATCCCTGGACCCCCCTGTACCCCATCCCTGGACCCCATCCCTGGACCCCATCCCTGGACCCCTGGACCCCATCCCTGGACCCCTGGACCCCATCCCTGGACCCCCCCTGTACCCCATCCCTGGACCCCTGGACCCCATCCCTGGACCCCATCCCTGGACCCCTCCTGTACCCCATCCCTGGACCCCCCCCTGTACCCCATCCCTGGACCCCCCCTGTACCCCATCCCTGGACCCCTGGACCCCATCCCTGGACCCCTGGACCCCTCCTGTACCCCATCCTGGACCCCCCTGTACCCCATCCCTGGACCCCTGGACCCCCCTGTACCCCATCCGTGGACCCCTGTACCCCTGGACCCCTGTACCCCTGTACCGCTGTACCCCTCCCTGTACCCCTGTACCCTGCCTGTATCCCTGTACCCCTGTACCCTGTACCCCTGTCACCCTGTACCCCTGTACCCCTGTACCCTGTACCCCTGTACCCCTGTACCCCTGTACCCTGTACCCTGTATCCCTGTACCCTGTACCCCTGTACCCTGTACCCCTGTACCCCTGTACCCCTGTACCCCTGTACCCCTGTACCCCTGTACCCTGTATCCCTGTACCCCCGATCCCTGTACCCCTGTACCCCTGTACCCCTGTACCCCTGTACCCTGTACCCCTGTACCCCTGTATCCCTGTACCCCCGATCCCTGTACCCCCGATCCCTGTACCCCTGTACCCTGTACCCCTGTCCCCCTGTACCCCTGTACCCTGTCCCCCTGTACCCCTGTACCCTGTACCCCTGTACCCCTGTACCCTGTACCCCTGTACCCCTGTACCCTGTATCCCTGGCCAGGGTTTCATGCTCAATACGTAGCATTTTTCTACTGGGTGTTTGGCTGCTCTGGGAACTGCAGGTTTCACTTCCCTGCAATAAAGCCAAGTCCTGAGTGGGTGGAGGGGGTTAAACCCCAGAGAGAGAAATAGGTATAGAGAGAGAGGGAGAGACGGTGGGGGTGGGTGTTAGGTCCCGGTTTCTACACTATTTTGTTGTTCTCACGAGATTTTTATTTTTATTCACCCTTTGTTTAAAAAAAAAGTGGGTTTTTTTTGTGGCCACTCAAACCCGCAACTGTTTGTGAGACGCTGCTGTGGGCAATTTGCTGCCGTTTCTCGCCCACTAAATATTGCAGCCCATTCACTCTACAGTATATTCTGTGAAACGCTTTTCAGACATTGCGGAGACCTGATAAGGCGCTATATCAAAAAGCAATTATTATTAATATTATTCGGCAATAGTAAAAAAGAGAGAAAATGATTTGATGAGATTTTGTAAGGCGAGTTTACCCCCCCCCCCCCCCCCCCCGTGTCCTGGCCAACAAACCCACCAACAAAATTGGTTATTCACTTCATGACTGTTTGTGGGACTTTGCTGTGTGCAAATTGGCTGCCTTGTTTTCTTATGAAAGTATAATTTATAAAGTCAACACATTTTACAACTACATCCTGTGAAGTGCTTTGACATGTCCTCCTGACATGAAAGGAGCTGTATCAAATGCAAGGATTATTAGTCTTGCAAAACTGCATTTAAAATAATAATAATAATAGTTCTTGCATTATCATGTAGCGCTCTGTCGTGTCGTCGAGACGTCTCAAAGCGCTTCACAGAAATGGTGAAACTCACAAGACACTGATTTTATTCTCAATAAACTTTCTAACCTTTTGAGATGTAGCAGCCAACAACTATTTCTATTCTCCCTTCTCCTCCCCACAATACACAGCACTTGCATTTGATATTGTGCCTCAACAACAATTTAGATTTACACAGTGCCGCTCACCTCAGGGAGCATCACACAACTCACACATCCACAAGATTGGCTTGGATGAAGAAGGCCCATTGGCCCTTCTGACTCCTTCATCCAAAACACTCTCCCTGCCATCTTCCTAACACAACAACAAGCAAGGATTCATATTGAATCCCGTGTCCTGGCTCCAGCCACCCTTCCTGGCCGCATGTTCCAGCTGTAAATTACCCACTGGGCAACTCCAACCAAACCCATGTCCTCTTGTTCATCTGTCTTGGTACATTCCCAAATATTGTTCTGGGTTTTACTGTTTCCCGTGACCTCTGGAAAGGCCCCTCTGAGATGTGTTATCTCGAGCTAGAGCCTGGGGAGGAGGGTAGAGGAAAATTGGCCAAATCACAATCAAAGCTTCAGGTGAGTTTTGAAGGTGGAGAGGAAGAGGGCAAGGCTCCAGAGAGTTGGCATTGGTTAGTGGTGGGAAGTGCTTTGAGGATATGAGTGTCATCCGGATATATTGCATACTCACTTAATCAAATAAGAATCAGAACCAAACATTTATTTTAACTGAGAACCATATTAAATTGTGGACAAGTTCCAGCAATGACACACTGACACTGGTTTGTTCCCCACCGTGCCATCTGTTCTCAAATATGACATCTCCTCCAAATACCAAAAATATTTTATGGAGATAATCTAGATTTGGCTGCTGACCAAAAAAATGTTGCATTAAAATCTAGATCTGTCTCTTACTGGAGTTTACTTGCTTGCTGCATGGATTTCTCATTGGAAAATAATAATAATAATCCTTGCATTTGATATAGCATCTTAATACGTAGTCAAGACATCTCAAAGTGCTTCACAGGATAAGGATATAAAGTGGATTGACTATTTTGTAGGCAAAATGCGGCAACCAATTGGGCACAGCAGTGTCCCACAAACAGCCTGACCAATTTTATGCGGGGGATTGTTGACCAGGACATCAGGATAAACTTGCTTCTCTTTTCGAGCAGTGCCAGGGGATCTTTAACGTCCACATGTACAGGCAGATGGGACCTCAGTTTAGCATCTCATCTGAAGGACTGAAAAATGAGAAATTTCACTTCAATTGGAGGAACATTTACAGTTGCATTCTGTGCTTCATTTATTCATTTCCAGCTGTTTTAGATGTCCAGCACTGATGATGAAGAGACTTTGCCCACATTACTGTGTTTCCAATGGGGGAAAAAACTTTCTAAGTGAACTTTTTAAGTGAGGGGACATAGGAAAGGAAAAATGTGTGTTCTCTCTATGCTGTTACTATACTGTATAAAAAAATAGTGTTGTATCTATTAGAAAAAAACGAAACTTTTAATTGGATCCAGGATTCAATATTTTTAAATGCTGAGTTAGAAGTTCAATACAAGGAGGTGATTAACATTTATTAAGTGAAGTCCAGGTTTCAGATGCTGATCCTTGAAAAGTGCTGAAAAAGAAGGTTCTTATTGGAAAAAAGATTAAGGTTAAAACATGTTCATGTTTTTTGATGAAGAGGTTCGATAATACCATGTTGGGGGGAGCTTATTGTGCAAGATCAGAACAGATGAAACAAGGGCATGATTACAAGGTAAAGAGGCCACAAAATAAACTTGTGGATTAGACTGCCACCTCGTGAAATGGGATGATGGTTCTGTATCAATTCAAAAGTGAATTGATTCAGTATCTAATCCATTAGATAGTAAATACTGTAGTAAGAGTAGCTTCAAAGTGGAAAAATGGTCTGACTGGCAAGTGAATTCAGCCCTAAACGGTGCAGCGTGCTTCAGAGGCTGAACCGCCTTCATCTCTTTCATACGTGTTAGTTTTATTCAGTCATGCAGATTGCTGCTTCCTACCTCCCAAAATCAAAAACTGAGACAGTTGCCTTTTAACATGGAGTATGCAATAATAATAATAATCATAATAATCAATGCATTTGATATAGTGCTTTATCACATTTTTAGATGTCTCAAATCGCTTCACAGAATATACTGTAAAGTGAAATGACTGTATTTTTGTGGGCAAAATGATGCCAAGGTTTAGATAAAACAATTAAGTCTGGATGATGTTTACAGATTTTAATTCAGTGTAATTTCTCTGTGGATTTTGTGGATGGGGCTGTCCTGGCAGGTTTAATGGGAAGTTGCGGAATGAGTAAGGCAATAATGTGTGGAGACGTAGAATCCATCCCAAGAAAAAAGAAGCTCTATTTTATTACGTTTGCAAATGCAGAAAAAGAAGTTCAATGCTGGTGACAACTCTCATTTACACAAGAGAATAATGCTAACTGTTTGATTTAAACACACCTAAGACATGCACAAAGACTTCTATTTCACCTATTTGTTGAATTTACTCACTAATTAACTTAGCTTTGTAAATAAGACTTTTAAAAACAATCAGAGCGCTGGATGTTTCGATGATATGGAGTTTCTTCTTCTTCAGAAACACAAGTTCAGATATTAACACTGCAAGTCTAGTAAATGTCATTATTCACTTCAAGCTGTTTTGTTCTAAAACATCTGCGTCTTTTGATTCCTTTAAAGCCTGAAAGGTAATTTAATGAGGTTAAAATGAAGTGTCATTAATCTGCTTAATTTAGAATCTAAACGAAAAACAATTTGCTATGATAGGCGTGTGGAACACAAAATTGTTGTCTCATTAACAAACTATTTGTGCTCATTTATTCAGTTTAGATCATCAGCAGCAACAGTCTGACCTTCAGCCTCCACCCCCCATCTCTCTCTCGGGTCTCCCCCCAGATCCCCTCCCTCACCTCTTTCAAGTCCCATTTCAAGTTCTGTTTGATCGTGCCTTTGGTCATCCTCCCTTGCCCTCTACCTCTCTTGACTCCAACCCCCAGCTCAAGTACAAGCCCTCATTGTCCAGTGCCTTGGGACGTCCCCCTGAGATGAAAGGTCTTCTACAAATGCAACTTGTTGGTGTTAGTTGCCAGTAATGGAACTGGAGATAAATGCAATGCCTTGTTTGTAACTAGTTTTCCTCTTGAAAATGTTTTTTCTTTTGTCATTTTTCTTCCCTCCCTCCCTTTTCCAGGTTGCGGCAAATTTACAGATTTTTGGAACAGTCACGAAAACAAATTGTTTAAATAATCAACATTGGAAAAACATGGGCAAAATGTCAATCAGCCACAGCGGGGGGGAAGTTAGAAGCTGCAAGTTTCTTCTACACAGTCTATTTATTTGTTTGCTTTTCTTTTGATTGTTGGCTTTGTTTACAAACCAAGCGAATTGTTATTTGGAAGCTAAAGTTAACAAATCTGGTCCTGTTTGTTACCTTGTTGTTCATAAATCATGGCATTTCGGTTTCTTTGATGTGTTTCAATTCTGGTGCTTATCCGTCTCCTTCTGTCGTCGGTGTCACATCAAAAATACACCCTACAATGTTACATCTCCTGTTGCTACAGTAATGTTCATACAGCTGTCTTGATATCAGTCAAAAATATGTTGATTGTTTTGTGTCTTGACATTTTCTGCTTTCTTGTCTTCTACTCCCATACCAAATAAGCTAAGCTTTTACAGCTCCTATCATTGTTTTGGGGAGAATGTGTAGATTGATCACTGTTGTGGATGTGGACGTGGGTATGAACTAGAAAGCACGATGACTTGAGGCTAGATGTAGTTGACGGTATTTGGTAAGTCAGCATTTAATCTTCAGTTTTGCTGAGTAGCTTTGTTCCAATTTTAATCCATCAAGTTGTGTTTTGGAATAAAATGCTGCCTGTAAGAGTGGATTTGGACATCTGAGCCCAGTAACTCCTGGATTTAGTTCATTTGTGTTTTTTGGAACATATTATTCATAATCCTAGTTTTTTTTGGGGGGGAGTGGGGATAAACTGGAAATAGTGTCATAACCCAATAATAATAATAATAATCCTTGCATTTGATATAGCGCTTTTCACGTCGGGAGGACGTCCCAAAGCGCTTCACAGAACACACTGTAAAGTGAAGTGACTGTATATTTGTGGGCGAACGCGGCAGCCAATTGCGCACAGCAATGTCCCACAAACAGTCGTAGATTGAAAATGACCAATTTATTATTGTTTTTGGTATTGGAGGGAGTATTATTAGGCTCTGTGTGGAGTAAGGAAACTTGCCCAAGGTTTCGCCCTCTGCCTGGAATTGAACTCAGGTCTCTCACTTGCAAAGCGAGTGCTCTAACCACTGAGCTACAGGACTCCTAAGCATAGCTATAAGCAGAGCCTTCTACCTTTACTTTTTTGAAGCCAGTTTCTGTACGTCACTAGTTGAGAGAACAGAGTTTTGCCAATTTTGACTGTCCTGGAGAAGGCTGGATGACAAGGTAAATTACCATCAAAATCTGCATAGTCTAAAATACACCTTTCTAGACAAATGCATTTTCTGAAAATCTTCATGAAGATCAAGGTTTCAGTGATTCCTGGAACAAAACATTTGTTAAATTTTGAATAGATTAAATGCCAGTTGACTGGATTTTGGGTTAAATTGCTTTGTGAGCCAATGCAGAGCCATTAATTCAACTTTGAAAAATATGGTCAAATTGTCAATCAGACACGGGTGTGGGGGGGAAGTTGATAAATTAATTTCTCAACAAAATAGGTGTTAACTGAGATTCCCACAATTCAATCTGAGTCACTTGCCTGATTGATCCCGAACAAATTTGATCACTGAAAACATAATTGAGCTATTCCCTGAATGCATTCTGTGCTGAATAGGTTAATTGCTATTGGAAGGGACTTTGCTAAATAAATAAATATCGCTTGGCGAGTCACGTTTCTCACTCTCTGAGCTCCCGCTTCAGTGAATGAATTAGATTGCACAAAGAGATGGGCACTAAATAAGTTACTGTTTGGCCAATAATTCATAATTACCCAAATTGAATTTTGGAATAAGTTTGTTCACCAGCCAGAGCACCTTAAACCAAATGGCCTAGGAGTGGATTACCATGGTGTACAGATACCACGGAAAAACAATTTGCTTGAGAAAGTTGAGAAATCAAAATATTTTTCAGATATTTCTCATTCGCTCCTCAAAATTAAAAACCGATTGCAAACTGTATTGTGATGATTCATTAACTCCACCATTAATCAGACAGAAACAATTGCCATAATCCTTTGATCGGATCCTTATAAAGTGATACTAACAATATCAAGGATTTGCTACCCCATCTGGATGCTGTTGTGACCCTTTCATTCATAGCGATTGAGGGAATCTGTAAATTCAGGAGAGAAAAACAACAAATTACATTTCACATCAGGAGGAGGTCCCAAGAATGTAGAAAACCTACAAAAGGAACCTGTGTGTTGTATGGAATGGGAAATAACTGACAAGGAGTTTGAGGCAGATCACTGGTTTCATTTGATAACGTTGTAAGGGTATCAACTCATCCTTAAATTGTGTCTGTATTGTATAGCCTCATTGGCGTTCACGCGTTCCTGTTGAAAATATGTTTTCATTCCCTTAAGTACCGTTAATGCTGATTTCACAAATTTTACTTCTGTTTGTTTTTTTATCGATTATGTATCGACGTATGTTATAACTGGAATTTTGGTGTTTCATATTTTGCAGATTTTATTTCAATTGGCAGTATATTGGGAACTGGAATACTGGGTAAGTCAACTTAGCTCAAGGTAGAGTTTGCATATATTGCATTGGCTTTCTAAAGCAGTAAGATTGAAGAGCAAGTCTGAGTGTTAACAAAACAGTTGAGAAATCAAACTGGAAATAATAACAATAGTAACTGAAAATAATAATCATAATAATAATAATAGCAACTGGAAATAATAATAATGGTAACTAGAAATCCAGTCTGTCAGCAAAAAACCTGCTGAGATTGCTTGTCAATCCACACACGTTCGTGAAATGCAATGGTTTGTTTCCTACATATTGAACGAGAGTCGCAGAGATTTTTTTTTAGATTTTATCAAACTGTCATTTGTGGCAGTAACCTTGGGACAATTTTGAAAGATCATTTTCAAAGTTGTTTGTGTACAGTTTGTAACACGTTGCGATGCATTTGCCATGATTGTGAAAGATTTTAAAACTGTCGTTTACTTCAGTTGAAAGTATTATTTTTAGCAGTTACTGGGGGCCAAGAGAATGTTGGGCAATGCCTTGCCTGCCGCATTGTCATTGTCAACTGTGGGAATGAGGCCAACAGACCAAGTAGCTCCTCGGGCCACTGTGTACACTTTGGCTGAGAAACATTCAGCTAGCCAGTGTTTCTGATGTCAAATAGCATTTTAATAGCTCTTTTAAAAATCATTTAGTGTAACTTTACAGTGAATTGCTTTGATAAAATGGTAGTATACAGCTGTGAATAGACTGCAGTCGCTAACTAATTAATAGTCTGTTTTCCAAGATTAGCTCACGCACACACACGCACACCTCACACTCTCCCTCCCAAGATAACACCTTCCTGCAGCTTGGGCCTTGGTTCGATAATTTGGCACCCTCCCAAGTGAGCTACATTCCTGAACTAGACTAATTGATTACCTATTAAGTAATTACTTTGTGAGGAAGTGGAATGAGTACATTTTGAACCATATTCAAATGAAAAATCTATGGATATTTAATAATTGATTGCGTGAAATTGTTAAGTGAAGAGCAACCAGTTGAGTTTGATGAATAATTAAATCACGTGCGGAATGTACAAATTCTCAATTGGCTTGAGTAAATAACATAATTTCCTCACTAAAAATAAGATGCGATTTACTGAAAAATAAACATCTGTTTTGAATTAATACATTGAATAAAGGATAAATTGTTGATAATGGAACAATCTCCAACACAAGTGTTTAATGACTTGTTGATGACCTCTTTCAAACAACCTGAAATTGTACTGAAAAATTTAAGAATAGATGCAGATAAAAATCAGCAAATTGTCCATTGAACAGTAAAATTTCTGTGGTGCTCAGGTCAGGGGAAAGGATTGTTGTCTATGTAGGGAAGCTTTATAAAGATGGATTAATATTCTGAAGTGTGTGCTTTATTAGCTTGGGATTTTGTATGTGTATAAGATTTATTATTAAGATCTCTCCCCTTCCCCCCCCCCCCGCCCCACCACCGCACCAAAAAATAAATGGGTGGCATTAGGTCAATGGGGAGGGAGCAACGTGGCAGGCAAAATGCCTTTTTAAAACATTTTTGAAGCAAAATGTGATTTGTCATTCAACTTAATTCAAGGGGCAAATTTATCCAAAAGTGTTTGTTTCAAGTGACAATGCTCAGTTAATAAGGACCTGTTCGTGATGGAAACTATCTGACAACAACAAAATTACATTCGTAAAGCATCTTTCACATTGGAAGGACGTCCAAAGGCGCTGAACAGTCAGGGATCAGGACCCGAGCATGGGGGGGTGGGGGGGGCAGGGTTGGGATGAGGGAGGGCAGAGGGGGTAGGAGGATGGCTGAAGGCACGGTCAAAAAGGAGGGTCTTGAGTTTCACCTTGCAGGAGGCAAGAGAGGAAGCGAGCGATGGGGTAATGGGATGGAGTTCCAGATGGTGGGGGCAGAGAGGCTGAAAGCCCGGCCACCGATGGTAGGGCTGGTTGGGCGAGAGACATGGAGCAGGCCAGAGCCCGCTGCATGGCGGGAGCGGGCAGGTTGATAGGGTGTCAGCAGGTCAACGATGTAGGAGGGGGGGGGGGGGGGGGCAAAGCCATGGAGGGCCTTGAAGGTAAGGACGAAGATACGAAAATCCAAAGTGCATGAAAGAAGCGAGAACCGTTAAGTTTTGTGAACTGTTTTTGTTTGTTTAATTGAGAATGTTGTGTTGGTCATTGCAGGGTTGCCTGTCACAATCGCTCACGCTGGATTGCAACCATTTTTGGTTTCATTCGTGATTGGGTTCTTCATGCAGGTAGGAATCCAGAGAGGAGCAGCCATAAATAATTGGTATGACATGGAAATCCATTCATTTTTCGTGATCTCAAGCTGCATATCATTGCATGAAAGAAAAATATGCTGTTTCATATCAAGATTTTGATTTCAAATGAAATCCTGGAGATTGTTCCTGTGAACAATTTCGAGGGTTTCTTTTTCTTTCAAAGGATGAAAAGCTTTAAAGTCAAAATGGTTCCTTTTTGTAGGACAGAACAAAATAAGTGTGACACAAATGAATGTTAGCATACAAAAATGATTTTGATTAAACTGGTTTGATTCCATGTGGACTTGGCAAACGTTTGTTTGAACTGAATACTTATTGGGCAATAAAATAAGCTTAAAATTAACGCACTTTATGTAATAGTGATAAAGAAGCAAATTTTCTGAGAGACTGAAAATATTTTTTTTGATGGCTTGTGGTTTACTTTGAAACCAACATGAGTGGAAGGAAATGAAACCAGTGCTTTGACATTGGACTTTGAAGAGACCATTTCTGAGCAGTAGCTGAAACTATTCACATCACATTCATTAATAGAGCAATGGTGCAAATATGTATCCCACTGAAACAACCTTCGTAAATTACTTCATGATTGCATGACTCACTTTTTTGTGCAGAGAAACCAATGAATAAACTGGGGTCAGTTACAGAGGGTAACGCAAATAATTTATCCCTAAATTAATTGGTTATGAAGAGATGCTTAAGGCAATGCAAATCAAAGCCCAATGGAAGACGCGTTATTTATTTTGTTTTAAATAAATCAATGGGTGGATGTGAGAGAGTTATTTTTGTGAGCTGAACACAGGGAGCACCACCTGATCTAGGCTAATGTGAGCAGTTATTAATAATAGACCATCTCCCACTGTCGTGAATATGAAAACAATGAAGAAGAACAGATTATTTGTGCTTCAGTATTTAAAATAGTTCTTAAAAGAGACAGAGGAGAGGTGAGGAGAATGTTTTTCACGCAGCGAGTTGTTGGGATCTGGAATGCATTGCCTGAAAGGCTGGTGGGAGCCGATTCCATAACAAATTTTAAGAAACAAGTAGATAATTATTTGGGGAGGACAAGTTTGCAAGGCTATGATGAGAGCGCGGGGGAGTGGGGTTGATCAGGGCTATGGGGGGAGAGCGAGGCAGTGGGGTTGATCAGGGCTATGGGGGAGTGGGGCTGATCAGGGCTATGGGGTAGTGGGGTTGATCAGGGCTATGGGGGAGTGGGGTTGATCAGGGCTATGGGGGAGTGGGGTTGATCAGGGCTATGGGGGAGTGGGGTTGATCAGGGCTATGGGGGAGTGGGGTTGATCAGGGCTATGGGGGAGTGGGGTTGATCAGGGCTATGGGGAGTGGGGTTGATCAGGGCTATGGGGGAGTGGGGTTGATCAGGGCTATGGGGAGTGGGTGGGGAGTGGGGTGCTGATCAGGGCTATGGGGGAGTGGGGTTGATCAGGGCTATGGGGGAGTGGGGCTGATCAGGGCTATGGGGGAGTGGGGTTGATCAGGGCTATGGGGAGGGAGAGGGGGAGTGGGGTTGATCAGGGCTATGGGGGAGTGGGGTTGATCAGGGCTATGGGGAGAGAGTGGGGGAGTGGGGCTGATCAGGGCTATGGGGGAGTGGGGTTGATCAGGGCTATGGGGGAGTGGGGTTGATCAGGGCTATGGGGGAGTGGGGTTGATCAGGGCTATGGGGGAGTGGGGTTGATTTGGAAGCTCTTTTCAAAGAGCAGCACAGACACAATGGGCTGAACGGCCTCCTCCTGTGTTTTATGATTCTATGAATAGTATTGGGCAATATAGGCTTATCAGAAGATGGAACTACTCAGCACAAGATCTCAGCTTGATCCCAAACCAACAGAGTGAGCTGGAGTATAATGAATGTTCTTATCATTCCTATATTCTTAAATATTATATTCTTGAAGTGCCTTACTCCGGCTAATTTTAGATTTTGTTGCCTTTATATTTGGAGCAAAGTGCAAGCTTTCCAATTTCACACCCTGTTGATTATCCATGTTTCCAGAATTCTTGTTTTTTCTCTCTCTGTCACCTTTGTACTGTTCTTACATTTACGCTGAAGCTTCGGGGCTGAATGGAGTACCTGTGGAAACACAAACGATCACAAGATCCCTTGTTAATTCCTACAACACATTAAATATTCACAGCTCAGTATTGAACTGTTTTTGGTCTGCTCACCAATATTCCCTTGAACGTTCTTTGACTATATGAGGAACTTTAGTGCAGTTAAAGAGGTGGGTGTGCAAACCTTTTAGTAACTTTAAAGAAATCTTAAATGCTCATTGTAAGCTCGGTTCAATCCCTGGTATGAAGATTGGAAAGCATAAATTGGATTTCTGTTGCAGATTTGGTCATGTTTGGAGTTAATATGGCTTTAATTTTATCAGTACACACTAGGTGTGGAAGGTACTTGAATTATATATTTTACCATGGATTTTGTAAGAGATATACAGTATTGAATTTATAATCCTCTTCAACAATTTTGGGGGGATTTAATTGAGTTGGGCAAAACTCAGCAGAATTTAAAGCTTCAACAATAATCGATCTGTTCAACAATGATGATAACCACAGAAGATCGATTAGTGCCATTCGAATTCCTTTTGATACTTTTGCTCTCAATGCAATCTATTATATTGACCTCAGTACAAGTTTCTGAATTGAATCCCAATTTGTACTTATTACCACTCGATACCATTGGTGTATCAATTCAGTGGGGTTAGCAGTGAATTAACCTCTTACCATCTTCGATTTTTTTGGAATATTTTTGTATTACAGTGCGATTTTTTTTTAAAATTGAGATATTCTTACATTCTGAAGATTACAGCAAGTTCCTATGGGATTCAAATACTTGGCGAGATAACGGCACTGTCAAAACATTGATGTACGTGGATATGAAGACATTTTAAACAAAATTGGCGGCTGGCTTTGGCATCTTTTGTTTTGAGGAAGTCTTGTGTCCTTTTCATGTCAAAAAATATTAGTGCTAACCTCTGCAGCCTGTGTCCTCTCCCGCACCGGGCTCTGTGATCCTATCACCCCCATTCTCACCCGACTCCACTGGCTTCCCCTCACACAGGGGATACGGTTCAAGATCCTGGTCCTCACCTTCAAAGCTCTCCATGGTCCTGCTCCCCCCTACCTCTCCGACCTCCTAACCCCCAGCATCCTGCTCGCTCCCTCCGCTCAGTGGGCTCCGGCCTGCTTCACGTCCCCCGCCTTGCTCGCCCCACCGGGTGGGGCTTCAGCCACTCTGCCCCCACCCTCTGGAACTCCATCCTGCAGTCCCTCTGCCTCGGCCCCTCCTTTGCCTCCTTCAGGACCCATCTGAAGACCCTCCTCTTCAATCATTCTTTTGATCACCCCTGCCCTCCACCCTCCCTGATCCCGATGCCCAGCTCGGGTCTGAAAATAGGTCTGTCCAGCGGCTTGGAACATCTTTAGAAATGTAATTTTGTTGTTGTTCTGCCCACCCATTCCCGCACAAGTGCAGGTTGGAACCATGGCCTTATTGTGTCAATGCCTGTAAACATTAGGCCTATAATGATCTGAACAACTTTTTAGTCGAATTACTACTTCAGGTTAATGAGACGAGGTTATGCACAATTGTTGTTTTTAGTTTATTTTTTCATTCTAAATGCAGTGATTGTGTAGATTTTATAAGGTAATAATCCTTACGTTTGATACAGCGCCTTATCACATCTTCAAGACGTCTCAAAGAGCTTCACAGGATACACTGTAAAGTTAATTGACTGCGTATCTTGTGGGTGAAATTTTTAATACAATTGCAAGCAACCTTAGAACAAGAACATTAGAAAATGAAGACTATGTTTTACTTGATAAGTGAACTATTTTCATTGTTCTGAATCTAATCCTAAAATTCTAATATTTCCATTAGAAGCATAAGAATTCAACAGTACAACAATAAAGAAGTTTTGGATTATTCTTCTGTTACTTTGTGGGGGGGAATTTACATTGGGTAATGAAATGTATATTTTTATGTTAATGTATTTTTCAGGTGCTTCTGATTTATTTGTTTGTGGATTTACTGCAACGATGTCGTGTGGCTCAAGCTGATTCTGTGAAGGTAGGTTTTACTTTATACCGTAATATTGCAAGGTTTAGTTTACTAAATACTGAGATATTGGCTAGATGCATGCATAGGTTTTAAGCATAATTATAGAGATTAAAAACGAGAACACTACCTACCCGACTAAGATTTCAGCCTAATTTTTTAAATTGTATTTGTTCCGTCAATCCTTTTATTTCAGCTTGTTGATTTCCATGCGGGATTCTACAGGGCTGCTCACTGAAGGCGGAACCTAATGTCCCTTGAATTTGTCAGGCAGCAGGCTCCTAAATTGATAGCATGCTTCTAACTAATGCTGCATGCTTCATTCTTTAAGTGTTCATTTCCATAATATACTTTCTATTCTTTTGGTGTAACTCTGATGGCGACTAATTTTTCAGCTACTATATTAAGTTAGTGCAGCGCCATTGACTGCTGTTTTAGTAAATGGCTGTACAAATGCATTTGGACAATGACAGCAGTATTCAGGGCTGAGCACTACAGCAAGCTCATCATTCACAGTTCAGAGTGATACAGATAGAGGGGAGATGGGCTATTACTATAGCAATAGTTGCTGACTGACATTATCCGCTGGACAAAATTGCAATTAAAGCAGAATAAGTTGAGGACTCGTACGCATCACCTGAATTTTACAATTAAGATTATTTTTTGAATGCCTTTTGCCGCAAGATTGTATTCATCAAATTTCTAATCTTTATTGTACATTTGTGTACAACGTACCAATGATATCTGCTGCTCTTGGTTTTTTTAAAAAAAGCTTATGTTGGAAAAGCAGCATTGACGGGATTTCATCAGTATTGTGTTCGAAAGTTTTATTAGGGGAATTACTGTGATCCAAAAATCAGTGAATTTCAGAAGCATTTAGATCTTGTTCAGTGACAATATTATGGTTCAATGATTGGAAGGTTAGCTATACCATCTGAGAATAATAATAATCCTTGCATTTGGTATAGTGCCTTATCACGTCTTCGAGACGTCTCAAAGCGCTTCACAGAATAGACTGTAAAGTGCAGTGACTGTGTATTTTGTGGGCTTGTGTATTGAGGAGGAGGAGGGAAGAGAAATAGATGGCTTTTTTGTTCAAGAAAGTGCAGTATATACAAAATGCAAATCACAATTCCTTGAAGTGATTGATTAAACAGTTGTCGAGTCAAAGTTGTACTAATTCTAGTTTTCCGCATGGTTTGTCCAGAAAAAGGTTTTCTTAAGTTTTTTTGAATGGATTTATAGAAGACAATCACTGGAAGCACAGTATTATTGCTCAGGAAGATTAACGCTGTGAACAAGATGAAACTTGTTGCTCAATCACTGTGAAATTTAATTTTTCCGATTTTGTTCTCATTGCACACATATGACAACAGCAGTGATTCCAGAGAGGAAATCGACCAGGGAATATAATCCCTCAAATGTTATTTTGCAGTTTGCAACATTGACATCTCTGCAGAGAGAGAGAGAGAGGAAGAGAACAATGCATATCGTTTTGAAGGACTAGGTTTGGCTTTAAAGGAAGTAGATTGAATATAATTGAGATGTAAGCATAATTTCTAATGGTGCCTCTTCCCCCCCCCCCCCCCCCCCCCCCCGACCAGAGCACTTTATAAACATACTACAAAGGAATTTTGTTCAGTTTCTTTGTTTTGTCTATTCAAGAAATTTGTTGTACCCCCTCAAAAGAAAATTCATAAAAATTCTAACCGTTCTGAAGGGTAATTCAGCAAAGCAATTTTGTTCCATTTCCCTGTCATCTTAAAACCACAAGGAAATGGCATTAGTTGAAAACCTCCCAATAGCAAGTCATCAAAATTCCAACCTTCACAAAAAGAATTAATAAAGCAGTTTTGTTGCATTTAGCTGTCAGTTTTGTTAAATACACAGAACCATTTATAGAAAAAAAACATTCGATAGACCATGTCACGAATGCTCTAACTGTCCCTGAAGAAATTAATTTTACAATCATTTTCTCCACGAAACATAATCTTAAACACTTGATCAAAGAAATTGCACTTGTTGAAAACCTTAGTAGACAGTTGCCTGGCCGGCCCTTCACTAAAGGCCTATATTATTCAGTATATATTGTAAAACAAAAATCTTGACTTTTATTTTCCTTTCCTTTTTTCCCTGGGCCATCAATAAAGGCAAGTTAGAATGCGTGTGATCCTCCTTCCCAATTAATAAATATTTCAGAAGTTAATATTGTGTTTAATTTGGGTATTATAAATTGAGGGCATAGCAAACAATGAACATGAACTGGATTGAAAACGATTTGGATATTTTCAGAAACTGGGCAAGTCGGTGGCAAATTCTGTCATGAACATTTGTTTTACATGTTCTGAAGGCGGAAAGAATTCTAATGCAAGATGTGAGCGATCAAGACAACATTCCAAGTCCTGTGGAAGAAGATGAAGAAACTGAAGATGCAGGTAAATATTTTATGCTTTAAAATAATATTTTGTTTACAAAATATCCGTGATTGAAAAATCGTCCATTTCCATCTAACGGTGAAGCTATAGAAAATAACATTTAGATGTGGACGAAATACAGTCCTGGTGAGATCCTCGCATTTGATATAACATCACGTCGTCCATCACATTAACATCTCAAAGCACTTCACGGGGTTTACTGTCGAGGTACAGGGACTGTTTTGAGTTATACGCCAAGAATAAGGAGAGTATTACAAAGCTTAGTTTCGGGGAAAGCAGAGCACCTGTTCTGAACATTTCAGATCCCTGTTTCTATGGAGATTTGACACAGCATGATTCTAGCTGCTGGGATTGCAACTGCGTCAGCGTGTCATTTAAACGGTGTGAAATTTATACTGCAAGAGTTGCAAAGCTTCGGGCCAGCTACTGTCTGAATAAATAACCCATATATGTGTGAACAGAAATGAATGCAATTTTTTTTCAAAAACCGAGATCCAAAGTTTTATTAAAGTTGTGATAACGGTATCTGGAATTGGATTTGATATTCTTTCCCAATTGAACAATAGAATTTCAAACATTGGTTTTCTGAATTGATTCTGTTTGCATCTGAAGGCTACATTACGGAGAGCTGTAAAATGGAGCAGCAGTTTATTTTACATGTATCAAAGACGTGAGATTTGCTTCCTCAAACTGAATCATATCTACTTTTTAAGTATACAACTGTGCATCAGGTATCGTGAGATAGCTGACAGACAATGGGTAGAATCATGTAATATTGTCGGCCTCCCCAACTCTTCCCTCCACAAGCTGAAGATCACCCAGAACTCTGCAGCTCGTGTCCTCTCCCGCACCAGGCTCCGTGACCCCATCACCCCCACCCTCACCCGGTTCCACTGGCTCCCCATCCCTCAGAGGATCCAGTTCAAAAAATCCTTGCCTTCAAGGCCCTCAATGGCCTTGCCCTCTCTGACCTGCTGACCCCTTATCATTCTGTCCGCTCCCTCCGCTCAGCAGGCTCTGGCCCGCTCCATATCCCCCGCCCAGCCCGCCCCACCATCGGTGGCCAGGCCGTCAGCCTCTCTGCCCCCACCCAATGGAACTCCATCCCACATTCCCTTTGCCTCGTTCCCTCCCGTGCCTCCTTCAGGGCACACCTCAAGGTTCTTCTCTTCAACCGTGCCTTCGGCCACCCCCCTACCCTCCCTCCTCTGCCTCCACCCTCCCTGATCCCAACCACCCACCCCCAACTCCGCTCAGGTCCTAATCCCTGACTGTCCAGCACCTCCTAACATGAAAGGCGCTGTCATGTCATTTTGTGTTGTATTAGATCCAGGCATTGATGCCAGACACCATGGGACCCAATTGTAACTAATGAGAAATATCTAAATGTTTAGGAAACTTGGACCATTACATATATACATGTATGTACTGGACAAACTCATCTCAAACTCAACTTCCATTGAAAAGGTGTTTGCTCTCATCCAGGTTAACTTTAATAATAATAATCCTTGCATTTGATATAGCGCTTTTCACGTCGGGAGGATGTCCCAAAGTGCTTCACAGAATATACTGTAAAGTGAATTGACTGTATATTTGTGGGCGAACGCGGCAGCCAATTGCGCACAGCAATGTCCCACAAACAGTCGTGGATTGAAAATGACCAATTTATTATTGTTTTTGGTTTTGGAGGGATTATTATTAGGCTCTGTGTGGAGTAAGGAAACTTGCCCAAGGTTTCGCCCTCTGCCTGGAATTGAACTCAGGTCTCTCGCTTGCAAAGCGAGTGCTCTAACCACTGAGCTACAGGACTCCACACTTTTAAGATGTTTGTGCAAACGTTGGAAGGATAAACAATGATAATAAATAGATTTTTCTCACAAATCATTAATTGTTCAGCGAAGGGCAAGTGAGAGTCACCAATTTTTTAAAAAATTGGTGTTTTTGAAAATAAAAATGCTAATTTCAACGGAGTTTAACCTACAATTCTATGGAGTTTGGAAAAGCATGAAGTATTTGCCAAAAATTGTGCCTGGTTTCCTTTATGTCAAATGCAAGGATTATTATTACATAGTCCCTGAGTGTCACTTGGTATCGCTCTTGCAGAATGAATGAAAAGGTGCTTCAGATGTCTGAGGCTGGTAGTGAGACAAAGCAAGACCAGATGGTTTTAGCTGGCGATTGCATTCACCATAGGGAACGTAAACAGCGGGGGCAAGAACACAGGCACTGATTTAGAAGCAGAAACGTAGATGTTACCTAATCAGTCCAGACTGAGCTTAGCAAATTGATTCATTAAGAGTTTTGGACAAGGGTACACCAGAATAGTTGGCTAATGAAGATAAATTGTATGGGGAAATTCAGCACAATTGAAAACTGCTCAAACTAAAAACATCTAACCCTTCCTTGTTTATGAAGGCTCTCCAATACATCAAAAGTAATTAGCTGAAGTAATGAGAATTCATAACTAAGCATTTTGTAAAAATGAAAATCAGAGATACAAAAACCCCAGTTTTTTCCACTTTGTAACTTATTGTAAACTGTTGTTCCTTTTCTCAACTCTGTTTCACAACAAAATCTGTATTTGTAACCACATTAGGAATAATTGAACCAATTTTTTCTGAAATAATATAAAATCATGTGGATGCTTTCTGTGGTAAAGTACGTGAAATAGCAATATTGAGTGAACTTAAATACTTTCAGATAGTAATGTGTCTCTGTTTTTTGCATGTGTCTAAATTCAAGATAATGTATTATCATATTTGGCATGTTTTTCCAAAGCTTTTTCTTTCGCAAGCACATGTGGGAACATCCAGATTAACTTCTGCAGATTAAAATGATTTAAGAGAAGGCTCTGCTATTAATACTACACTACACTGAAATTATTCAGTACAGATTGGATACCTTAATAGATTTTATGTGTGTATATTCGCAATGATTTACTTAATTTCTGGGAAATAAATGTAGACATTCACATGTGTCAGAATCATTTGGATCAGGATCTGTGGGGAAAATATTGTTGGACAATCGCTGGGTATTATATTGGGTTTACATTGTGCAATGTGTGTAGGAATGTGAGATTTTTACAGCACTCTGTTACGCAAAGTCCAGTATGAATTTGGGTGCAATACAGTTTGAGGGTCAGTGAGGTTTGAGGGGTCCTGCTACACTTAATAAGGTGATCTTGGTAACTTATCAATGCATCCAACTGCACCATACATGGGAAGAATGTTATTCTCAGTCCCAAATATAATAATTCAAGAGTACTACAGTTTGAGATTCATCCTCCTCACTCACCATCATTTTACAAATCTTCCACATTTCTTCAACTGAGATTAATTTCAACATTATTCATGGGTATTTTTCTGTTCATTCATCAATATTTGAAGGTTTAGATTTCTACACTGTAACCTTGCGATCAGGGAATCTGACAAGTCTTGTTTCAGCTCTATCTTGATGCAGATAAACGGGTCAAAACCTGGAAGGGAGTGAAATAGATATCTTGAGCTGTGAAAATATCATCATAACATATACCACTGTACATTTGAAGTGGAAATCCTTCAGACTAATCTTTGTCAACTGGCACCAGCTAACAGAAGTGTTGTATGATAAGAAACATAACAATGTTTTCAAAAAGGGACAAGGCATAGTCCTGTTAAGTGAAATGCTTCACGGTTGTTAGATTTAGAGAAAGATGCATCAAAGGAAACTCTTGTGGGAAATTGGATGGGATAACGAGATAAACCAATAGCCTACGCCTGACTGAAATTGTTGCTATGGTTGAGTTGCTCAGTTGCAAATTACTTTTTTGTGTGTGAGTGGGTGGGTGCATGTGTGTGTGTGTGTGTGTGTGCGTGCGCGAGCCTTTTATATCCCTTAACACATTTAGAAGCTCACTTGATTCAAAATTGTTTAAAATAAGTTGTGTGGGTGTATTGCAAATCGTGCACTGTGTGCCGAATGAACAGAATAGTACTGAGTGGGTTGTACTTGTCTGTGATCCAAATTCATATTGAATAGTAACTTTTTTACTCCCATTACAAATCTCGTTCAAGAAGGATGTGAAGAGGTGTTGGTGACGAGTTGCTTGTAAGGCTTCGCAATTGAATTCAATACAGTACCGTAACTTACAGGTCAGGGTTGGTGCTTAAACCGCCTCACCAAGAGAACCATAGCAAGGCTTGGTGACGGTACAAGCATCTTGTCTTTCATGTTGGAAGATGGATCGTGTGAGTCAGAACTGTGTGAATATTGGAAAACCCTTCAGATTTGATTGTATTAACAATGAGAATCTTAATGAATTCATTATTATTACACCATGGACTATCTTAACATTTTAAGAAATAAGTGTATTACCTCAATAGTGGTGGTGGAGCAAGATGGAAAGATTGAACGATCCATTCTTTCTACTGTTGCATGCAATCTGAACACCCATTAATTGCTACAACTTTCTAATGTTTGTTAATTCCTAAAGCAATGAAGAGTACAACTGAGCAAGCAGAATTTAGAGGTATTTGGGGAGTTCAAACCAATTAGGCAGATTAATTGAAGAGCATAAAAGGTAAATTTAATGGTTTATTTTACTAGATTGTTTGCTTCAAAACATGGAGTTGTAAATATTAATTTAATTCTGTTAGTTTGTTTCCTCCTAAACTATATAGCATTAAAATATTTGAATGCACTTAACGGCACCAATTTAATGACTTGCTCTAAAATAGTTTTTTTTAATCACTGTAATGGAATTGTTGGTGTTCTGTGATGGTATAGAAGTTTATTTACTATTTGCAACATTGCTGTAGTCTTTCGCAGTCTAGTTTTAATCTAAAAAAAATAAACTAGTTTAGGATTGTGTGACATTCACAATGTTTCAGGACTGTCGAAGCTGAGAACGTTATTTTTATGTTCTGATTTTTATGTCAATTAAAGGTTGCAATATGAATGGGTATCAAGAACAGAGCTTCAAGATGTAGTAAAGGACAACGACATAAATATTATTATTACTA